TATATAGGAAATTTTTGATATACTACGACCCAAAATTTTTAGGCCGGAAATGATCTTAAGCCCGAAATTTGCTTGACCCTGGACCCGACACGATCCGTCGGTTCGGATTCGGTTCGGGTATGCTTTTTACACGTTTGCGTAGGTTAAGCTTCCTGGTTAGTATGCCATAGAACTGTCAAATACCTGCTGCATATCAGCAGCATATTGGAAGAGTAAAATACCAATATTGTGCTGTTATTTTACCGATATCGATTTACCTCTTCCAATATGCTACTGATTAGTGAACCAAGTCGATCTTAAAAATTCGACTTGACTAAGTCGACTTGAGTCGATTATTAATTTCGGTTTTTAGCCAAAGTCGATTTTATTTAAAGGATATTGTCATGTGCTAAAGAATGGAAAACCTCCGAATACGTAGCAATAAAAATTATACTCTTCATATTTAAAGAGCCTGATCTTGCTTTTTTGTTTTGTAGTGCAAAGTTAAAATATTCATAGTTACAAAACTAGATATCGTCAGAACGCTAATTGATAGTTTACTTTAATACTCGGTTAAGTCGGCATTATAAAAACCGGCTTGCTTAAGTTGACTAACCGACTTAAGTTGATTTTACAAGCATCGACTTGTATGCGTATCACTACTACTATCGTATGTATCCGATATTCATTGATTCAACCCGTGTTGGGTAAATAAATTTTTTTAGGAATATAAATAGTAAGACAAATTTAATTCGCCAAAAGTATCCTCATCATCCCCGTGATCTTGGCTGCATCAAAAATCAATACGTAAAACAATTATCCTATTATTTTCATAATACAAAAACTATTTGCTTGTTTTAAGGTGTCCCGCACTGTAATAATTTTAAATTTTATTATCGGTACGTTAATTATTGCATCTTTTACTGTAACAAACAAATCCCATCTTACATCTAAGGAACCATATATACTTAAAGGGGTAAATTCAAGGGTTTTCCACAATAAATATTATCAAACTATCATGCATATAATACACGTAAATAAATAATACAAAATAAAAAAGATAGAAAATATATTGTACGATTCTAATCAATCAATTTAGCAAAAGCCATTGTATTCTTTGAAAAGTAGTCCGCCACAACGCTAAATCTCTTCTGCATCATTTAGCTATGTTGTAAAAATAAGATAAATAATAATTAGAAGAAAAAAAAAATTCATTTAATTTTATTCAACCACAAAAGCAGTAACATCAAATAATACCTTTTCGAAGAATAAGTCATGTTTATCAGCATTAATCTCTTGTGCCCTTCTTTGATCAGCAATCAATCGATACGTATGGGCACATTGTGGGCATTCACGATCTGAATCTGGTAGGCATCTATTAAAATATTATGATTAATAAAAATAATTTTATATATATATATTTTTTTAATTGTATTTAATAACGTTACAAACCGTTGGTGGTAAGAATGTCGACATAAGAAATGGACAGCAGGTAAATCAAGTGTTCCATGACAACCAGTACATTTCGTAACTTGGAAAATGCGGGCACTAAAAATTAATAAATTATAGTACTAAATATCTTTTTTGAGATGAATCATTTATGACAAAATTATGTTGAAATTGAATGATGCTGACATTTTGGCATATTTCAATATAAAATTTAAAATGTTTTTTGTGTATTTTTTTGGGATTTAGATATGTGGATTTTGGTAGGGATATATATCAAATAGACCCCAGATTTCAACATTATCTAATTTTCGCACCATCCATGACAATTAATAAAAAATATACATACACTGTTTTTAATTCATCAATTTCTTTTCTCTTTTTTTCAGTTTGCTCACGATAATTTTGTATCAATTTCCGATTTGCTTTCGCCTCTTTTCTTTCGCTTTCAATTCTTTTACCCATGTATCCTTTGACCATTGCCAAGGTCGCTATAGAATTTCTACTAAGAGCTTGAATAACTTGCAATGGTGGCAGTAGGTTATGAGAATCAATGTGATCAAGGATTTGTAAAAGTTCTGAAGTAGACGTAGACAAAGTCGTTGGAGAAGAGGAAAAATATGCTAGAGCTAACAGATAAAGAGACTGATCATGTGGTCTATAATAAGAAATTTTATTAATTTTAATAATTCAATAAAATAATTGTATGAGAATCATTGATGAACTTACCCATATGTCTTTAGAGCTTGCATTATTCTATCGGTGTCGTCCTTAGCCATATAAAATCTTAAAATTTCTTCATACATTTTCATTTTTTCATAAAGATAAATAATTCCTTCATCAAACTGAGCTAAATAACAGAGAACAAGTGCTTGATTTGAATCATAAGAGATCTATCACGATAATAAATTATATGAGTAAATTATTAAAGCAATAGACAAAGGAACCTTTTGAATTTAAGCTCACTAACATCCTGGTTCTTCAATAATTTTAACGCCTTATCTTTCCTTAACAATTTCTCTTTAACACGTTCAGTCTCGGTAGAAACCGAAAAATTTCCTGGAGCACCATATTTTCTTCCTTTTGAATCTTTGCCGGAAATAACTGGTGGCAAATAGGCCTCTGACAAATAAAGTTCTAAAAGCGTGTTCCAAACTGCTTTTTTTTCTTCTGCTTCGGGATCATCATCATCATCATCAAGATTATCATTGACATCGTCTATATCAAAACCACTCGTATCAACAACAAGCTTGTTTGGTCCAGTCTTTGAAACAGTAAGCTTTTCATGTTTTCGTGAAATACCGAAACCTCCCCAACGTTTTTGTGAAGCTTGCTCTAGGAATTGAATAAGATAATTTGGCTGGTCCACAAATAATGACATAAAAATTCGTACAGGAGGTGGCTTGGGCGAAGAAATAGGAGAAATAGGAGAAAGAGGAGAAAGAGGAGAAACAGGAGAACGAGGACGTTGGGTGGCTAAAGATAAGTCACCAGTACAAAGATCGATAAGGAGTTGGGTTGTGGGATGTGGAAGGTGATTAAGGAGAATTTTTCCATATTTTTGCAAATTACGATTGGCCTATTATTAGAGTAATAATAATGTCTTAGAACGATAGACAT